TTTTAACTTAAATTAACCTGTTTCTCTTCATCTACCTTTAGCCTCGGGCTTTTTAGTTCTTTCCTTCTGTATATCTTACTTCCGCTGCTTCTAGCTTCTGCCCGCTGACCCGGTCCCTCATTCTCTCCTCTCTTCCTCTTCTCTCTCAAGCCTAGATTTTTCTCCCCCTCCTATTTATTCTCTCTGCCCACCAGCCCTGCCTAGCTATTGGTCGTTCGGCTCTTTATTAGACCAATCAGGTGCCGTAGGCAGGCAAGGTGAAACAGATGCAACTCATCTTTACATCATTAAACAAATGCAGCGTAAACAAAAGTAACACACCCTTACCCAGTTAAAGTCATATTCTGCAGCGTCAACAAATGTAGCACATCTTTTCCCAGTTAAAATAATATTCCGTGCCGGGCGTTGGTGGCGCACGCCTTTAATCCCAGCACTCGGGAGGCAGAGCCAGGCGGATCTCTGTGAGTTCGAGGCCAGCCTGGGCTACCAAGTGAGCTCCAGGAAAGGCGCAAAGCTACACAGAGAAACCCTGTCTCGAAAAACCAAAAAAAAAAAAAATAATATTCCACAACAGGTGTGTGCTGCCGTAACAGAAAGCTGGCCAGAACCCCGAGTCATATGACAAGTATGTGTTCACATTTCTGAGGAGCGGTTAAATACCTGTCTTACCCAGGGCTGTCACCATTTTACATTCATACTAACAATGTATGAGGGCTCGAGTTTCTTTACATTGTTATGAATATTGATTTTGATTTGTGTTTACTCAATGACTGTTAGGAAGATAAGTTAAACCATTTTGTGTGACTTGGAGTAATGTAATGCCTATAAGATAAAAGGTTGCCACCAGGCGGCTCTGGTGATAAGAGCTGGGCCTCAGAAGCACAGGCCTCAGATGTGTGAATGGGTCAGTCCCAGAGCCAAGCCCAGGACAGGCCTTGACATGCGAATGAACCAACCCCAAGGTTGCATTGACATGTTAGAGGACCGAGTGGGAACCCTGATAATGCGAAGCTACTACCCAGTGAAATGATACAAAAATTGCAGCGTTGGAAATGATCTCTAGGCGGGCACTGCCATGCTCCTGAGATGTGGCTTTTCTCCCTTCTGTGGTGATGCGTTCAGCTAGAGGACTTGAGATTGGTCTCTGTGTGTGGCTCCAGTTTCAGTGACTGTTGAACTTCCCGGCACCAGCACCAGCGGCGGTATGCACCTGTCTGCCTGTCAGCTCTGGCTGTTGGGAAACACTCTCAAGGACCTGTAGCTTCTGAAGCATCCTTACTGGGGAAGATTCCCCAATGGAATCCTGGAGCAGCATTTTCTGTCCAATTAACTGGCCCCTGCTTGGTAAGGTGTCTGTTTAGCTTTTGTGTTAACATGATAGTATAAGGAAAGTTTGGATGAATAAACCGAGCATATTTGGAAGTCGAATCTTGTGTGGACATCCTAATTGCTGAGCACCCACAGATTGTTGAAGGGAGCAGGCAAATGCACCTTGGCATTTTGACTTCAGACTCCATTTTACCTGAAGGGTGGAATAAAGTTCAGATTCCCAAGCTCTAGGGGAGCTGAGAACTTTCCAATGGCTGACCAACCTCTTCCTTAAACAATAGAAATAGTCTGTTATGGCTCTTAGTTCTCTAAAATATTATGGCTGTTTCTAACAACAGAAAAAACAAATGAATCTGATTGGTTGGATTGAAAAAGCTCTCATTTTGTGTCCACTGACAATGATGGAGCACACAAAAGAAGTCCCTCATCTCTAAATCCTGATTGGTGAAAATTGTAACTGTAACTTGGCAACCAATGTTTATGGTTCTTGTGCTTATAAACTCTGCTTCTGCCCCTGTTTGGGGCTGCCGGGAGAAACAAGGCTCCTGAATCCTTGTCCTGCAGCCCTGATCGATCAGTGACCTGCTTATGCGGTGATTTATTAAGGGTTATGAAACCCATAAATGTTGTCTATCTCCTTCCTGGTGGCGCATTGCGGACCGGGTCTAACACTGTGTTCTCAGCATTTGGCGCGGTCGGCAGGATTCCCCAGGATGTATGGCTGGATGGCTAAGTGATTTTCTTGAATGGGTAGAGAAAGAGTCGGAGGAGGCACCTCTAAAGATCTCCCCATCTAAAAGTAACATTGTATAACCATAAGAAGAAAGTTAAGATTTTGTTGGAATGGCCACCCAAATGACTTCAAAAATGCTTCGGGGATTATTTAAAAAAGGAGTCTGGGCAAGATGATTATGCAAAAGACTGATGGGAGAATATTGATAGACTAGTCAAAAAGTAATAACCAGTGAAAGTTCTCCAATATCTACAGATTACACTAAAAAACAAAACAAAAACAAACCCAGAAGTTCAATGGTCAGTGAAGCCTGGGCTACACACACAGGCCACTTTCAAGTTCTGGACAAAGGGTGGTAGCTTTGAACTATCAGGACTTACAGCTTGGGGCTGATGATGACTAGTCTTGGTTGTCAACTTGACTATATCTGGAATTAACTAAAACCCAAGTGGCTGGGTTACAGGTGAGACAAATTTTTCCTAATCAAAAGATTTGACGTGGGAAGACCCACCCTAAATCTGGACCTTTTGAGGTGGGAAGATCCATCTTGAATCTGGGCCATACCTTTTGGCGGCTGCCTATATAAAGGACATGGCAGAAGGAAGCTCCTCGCTCTTTGCCTGCTTGTCCTTCCTTGCTGCTGGTGGCAAGTCCATTCCTTCACTGGTATTAGAGCCTACCTCTTCGGGATCCTGGTGTATACCAAAAATCGTCTGAGACATCCAGCCTCGTGGACGGAACAACTACAGGATTCTTAGACTTTCCGTTGGTAGACAGTCATCGCTGAACTAGCTGGACTGCAGCTCTATGCTACTCTAGTAAATTCTATAGCTGTGCTTAGGAGGCTACTCTTGCAACAGGTGTGAAAAGTGGACGAACACTCAGGAGCCACGACGGTAAAGGTCCCAGTGTCCGTTGAAAGCTTTCCTGACACGTTCATGAGCTCCAAGTTGTCCGTATGGCTAGCTTGAGCTAGACGGGCCTGAAGGGAAGCTGTTCGCTCACTTTTGGAGCCAACGTGGAATTACCCCAAATTCCAGTAAGTTCTTCTCATCTTCCTGTAACTAGCAAAGGTTCCATTATTCAGTATTTTTTTTTAACAAAAGGGATGATCAGTTGGGGGGAAAAAAGCTACACATACTATCCTGAAATAAATACTGTTTCTAGACGAAGGAAATTTAGTATTGTTAAATTGTTGGAGGAACCTAGCAGCGTCGCTGTATCTCGGGTAAACAGAGTGGATAGTTGTTTTCTAGAAGTGCTTTAACCTTGAAGAAACCATTGCGGGAAATAATGATGGCTTTCTGTGACTTCTAGAGTTGTTTTCTGAAGCAGCTTTACAGCCTGAAAGACTTTGATCACCAGACGCTTCTGGCACACTTGAAGCTCTTGGATTGTTGGGTACTACAAAGGATACCCAGTAAGAACTAAGGTAGCAGGGGCGTGATGCTTACCTACAGAGAACACATAGATTAGGTCGGGGACTTTGGTATGAGGAACTTGTTCACCCAAAAAAAGACAACTTTGCATAACCATCCACAAATACGCCTTTGTTCGGCTATTCAAGGGTCAAGCCCATCAGAGGCTGGACCTACCTGCTGTCGCATAGGCCTAAAACATTCATTTTGGACTGACGTCTTCCTTCAAATGACTCACATAACACAGAACACCCAACATTAAATATAATTTATTAATTTAAATATCCCTTTAATATCAACTTATTAATTTATATATACACACACACACACATATCCTTTTAATTGTTTCTCTTCCTGGTATTAATATCAATCCCTCTTTTCCCCAGTGGAACCAATGAACGTTATCCAGTGAGTTAGGGAAGTGGCCACAGTGATGACATGCTTACTTTTGCTTCATATACTATCCAAGCTTCTTCAGATTGTTAGTTAATTCTTCAGGTAGTTCTACAAGAGAGGCATTACTAACTGATGGAGGGCTAAGATGAAGTTCAGAGATCTCGCTCAAGGTTGTACAACTGTGAGGCCGTAGATCTGAGATCAGCAGTACCATCCTTAGAACAGTGCTCTGTCAGTTTATGGTTTAGTTAGCATACACACAACAGGTTTGCTTGCCGCGTTTTCGTACATACTTCGTTTTGGTTGATTGACCGCCCCCCACCATCACCACTACCACCTGGGGGAGTCTGAGACATCTTTACCAAGTCTACTGGGAAGCAAGGATTCCAATACCATCCTAAAGCCAGTTGCGTAAAGTCGAGCCCAGAGAAGAACCAGGAGGTTTGGTGAAGGAGACACCGGATATGGAGCTTGCTCCCCGCCAAGAAGGAAGGAAATGGCTGGGAGTCCAGGCTTTACAGGTGATGCAGAGGCAGAGGCGGAATGGGGGATCCGAGGGACAGAGGGGTACAGTGGGATGGGGGAGGGGGAGATGTGGGAAGTAAGGAAGACGCAGCTGCTTGGCTGTCCTACTGATACTGAGTAAGCATCCAACTGTCATGTTGCGGTGGAACAGGGTAATGGAAAATCCTCCCTTCCTTCTCTCCCTCTCTCCCTTCCTTTTTTTTTTAAACCCCTCTTGCCCTCTCTCTCTCCCTTCCTTTCTTCCCCACCTCCCACCTGCTGCTCTGAGGATGGAACTCACACTGGGCCGAGCAAACACCCTCTTACATGAGCCCCCCCATGCCCCAGCTATTAGTAGAGACTTCAAAACCCCTTTCTCTCCCGGGACCTTTCACGACCGATTCTGACCGGTGGCTCCTACAGACTGTCTGCACTGAGGCTTGAGCTGGTCTGGTGCATGCTAGATCAGCTCCTTCTAGATCGCACCCTGCGTCTTTGCCCTCTGGCTTGGACTCCCTCCAGACACTGTAATCATTAACGCCTCCAGGAAACCCACAGATGATAGGTACCGGAGCCTGTCCCTGTCACCAACCAGAGGCAGTATCCGCTGAAGCCTCGAGATGGAGAGAAGTGAGGAGAGAGACGGCAGTGACGGGCCGGCGGCGGGAGGGCAGGAGCAGAGCAGTGGGGCACCGGGTCTGGCCCTGAAGAGGGAGATTGGCCTGTGGAGTGCCGTGTCCATGACCGCGGGCTGTATGATTGGCTCTGGCATCTTCATGTCCCCACAGGGGGTCTTGGTTTACATGGGCAGTCCCGGAGCCAGTCTCGTTGTCTGGGCGACGTGTGGCCTCCTGGCCATGATGGGCGCCCTGTGCTATGCTGAACTGGGCAGCCTGGTTCCTGAATCTGGGGGAGACTATGCCTACATTTTGCGAACCTTTGGCTCTTTGCCGGCCTTCCTGGTTATCTACACATTTGTTCTGGTGGCCAAACCAGCTGCCATCACCGCCGTCTCTCTGAGTTTCGCCGAGTATGCACTGGCTCCCTTTTACCCAGCCTGCGCCTCGCTCCCTCAGATCATGGTCAAGATCGTTGCTTCTTCCTGCATCCTGTTGCTGCTGCTGATCAACTTCTGGAGCTCACGGATGTCCACGGTGGTGATGAACGTGTGCACAGCCGCCAAAGTGTTCTCCCTGCTTGTCATCGTGGTGGGTGGGGCCGTGGTGCTGGCTCAGGGCCGCAGTCGTACAGAATCCCTGCCGTTCACCTTCCACAACACAACCCAGCAGGCAGGGCGCATTGGCATGGCTTTCTACCAGGGCCTGTGGTCCTTTGATGGCTGGAATAACATCAACATGGTGGTAGAGGAGCTCAAGAACCCAAAGGTGAGTTGAGTGCGCTGATCTGGGGGTGAACCTCTGAACATCGGCAGCTCCAAGAACTGGGGTTCCCACTACTCAAATGACCGAGCTCATTAACAATCTAAGTGGAATCGAGGCCCCCCTGAATGTACTACTCGTGGGACCTGCATGGTGGCCCATTTGCCTTGATTAGTTTATGGGATTTTAACTATGGCTTCTAACTAAAGCAGAGTACTTCATACTGTCATACCCCATGGACTCATCTTTCTGCTTCTTGAAGTAGCCATCAATGCCCATTTTTTTACAGGGGAAAACTGAAGTCTGCAGAAGGGGAATTGCTCTGAATTCATACTTGCCAGCATTCTTAATTGATGCTGCTGCCTAGCTCCTGGGTTGTTTCCTCCAGAACATTGCAGTAGATACTTATACATCGTTTCTGAAGCCTGGGAGCCACTTGTGGCTTGGAGAACAAGCCAGCTATGCCTGTTCACCCTACCTGTGAGCCTGGCCTGGATAATCAGTGTGCTGGCTGGTCTGAAGGGCTACCCAGGACTTGGTTGTGGCATTTGGATCTTCGGTTATTAATATACTGACTCTTTGCTATAAATATATTTTCTGAGATGTTATTTGTTTTCTTTTTTCTTTTTCCCCTTGCAGGAGTTTCAAATTCTCACAGAATGGGAATTGGAAGTCTTCTGTTGTCCCCACTGGGCTGGCTTAGGGGCATTCCAACTTTTAGAGTCTTGGCAAAGGCTCACTGGAGGGCAACTTGAGGAGAGAATGGCAGCTTGGAGAGAGAAGTATAAAAGCAGAGATGGGGAGAAGGGAGGAGACAGAGGGAGAGACAGACAGAGACAGAGGAAAGAGAGAAGAGGAGAGACAGAGGAAAGAGAGAAGAGGAGAGACAGAGGAAGGAGACGCAGAGACAGAGGAGAGAGAGTCCTAGGATCTCATCCTTATCTTTATTTTTCTTCTTTGGGACGCAAGTCTCACTGTAGCCCAAGTGGGCCTCGAACTTGCGTTGTAGCTAAGAATGTCTTTGAACTTCTGATCCTCACCCCGGAATGGTGGGATTGCAGGAGTTACTGGCGTGCCTGGTGGTTTTAGTTTTTTTTTGCATACAATCTCATGGTCCTAAGTCTTTGTCTACAAGAAGGGACCGTCATAATAACTGCCCTGACTTCCTCACAGGGCACTGAGGTTTCACTGGTACATTCTTGGCAGATGGCTTGGGAAACTGTCAAGTAAGTGGGTAGCATGTGCATGTGGTGGCCTGACAGGCACAGAGCCCCCTTTCTCAATCTAGACCCTGGGCTTTCAGCTAGGTCAAGGAAAGAGCAGGGTCCTGAAAGTTGGCCCCTGAGGTTGAAGACAAGCTCCCATGGTTACAGTGGTTATCAGCAAAGCTTTTCTAGAAAGGATCCAAGGGTTAAGATTTTAGGCCCCATATTTGTTAGTCCCTGTCACAACTACTCAGTTCTGTTATGGTAGCAGGAAAACTGCCACAGGTAAGTAAAGGAACACAGCTGTGTTTCAATAAAACTTTATTGACAAAATCAGGCCACAGGCTAGAACTGGTTCATGGCTAGTGTTTGCTGATCTCTGCTAGAGCCAGGACTTTTTTTTTTTTGATGTGGATTTCAAAGTAAAACCTAAGCCAGTCACCAGAATGCCAGCATTTGAAATTCTGCCCTAACTTGTTCTAAAGGGTGTATTTAGTTCATACTTTCCTCACCTCCAGCAAAGAAACTACAGGAACTTTGCCAAACCAGGGTCAGCCTTATATGCAGACTCCTTGGGATCTGAATGAAGAATTCAGGGCTCTCAAGAGTACAGAGAGTCTCACTGTTCTTGTGGTATATTGGCCAGAAACGTATCTATGATCCCACCCAGGACTCTACCGTTGTCACAGCTCATTACTACTGGGAAAGTTGCCGAGGGAGAGGTCAAATTCAAAAGCATATTAGGTTCCCTGCCCTGACTACATGTGAGGTTGACTCATGCATACTGGGTGCTCGCTGTGCCGAGGGCATCCCCGAAAGGCCTGTGGGAGTGAGAGTACCTTGACTACAGGTAACCTTGTGTGAGCCGAGGCAGAGCCACATTCCAACCCCTGGGTGGTAAGATGGTAGCTGCTATATCCATTTTGCGGCCAGGACACTTTCCTTTGAACCTAGAATCCCGGATTTTAAAGCGGAGGGGGACTTGGGGTACTCATACACGAGTCCGTGGCTGTCTCATTTACTTCATTTTCACTAACGTGAGGCATGGTCCTCGAGGGAGGGTGACCGACAAGGCAGAACAGTCAAATAAGGCCTCCTGGGGGAGGAGACTGGAGTTTAACCATAGCTCTGCGGAAGCAGTGTGAACATGAACTTGGAGGCCAGAAAGGACAGAGCCTGCCAACGTCCACGGGTACACAGGGAGTAAGGACAGTGTCCACCCGGCCGCTGGTTACCAAGAGCCGAGATAGGTCGAGATGATTGCCCCGTTCTGTGTCCCCCTCCTTTCCTTTCCCTCTCCAGGTCCAAGAATTCCCACAAGCAGAGCTCAGTCCTGGCAGAAAGCTCTGGAAATTGTCTTTGCTTTAAGGCTAAAGAGGAGATGTGCTAATCAGATGTTTCCACGAGGGGCCAATCATGCCTATGGCAAAGCAGACGGGGGACATCGTTAGCTTCCTTTCTCTTCTGCGGGAAATTCTCCTTCCCACCTTCCCCAGTCATGTCCATGCCTCAAAGAGAGCCCAGGTGAAGGCCCTCTTCATCCTAGAAGCCCTGGTGATGCCTCTGCCATCCCCTCTGTATCTCCACCGCCCTCTGTCTAGGACCTTATGCCGCTCACCACACACCTGCCTGATTGTGTGCCCACGCCATGGGGATCGTGTTCTCATGGGGCAGGAACACAATGCTTCTGTTCCCCAGGGTCCGGAGCAGTGGCCCTGTGGACAGCATAGTTCTGAACGCCTCCAAAGGCCTCCTTGGCTAACCTTTGCCCTCTTCTCCCTGAGCCTGCAGCGGAATCTAGTGTGGGCAGTGATGATTGCCATCCCCCTGGTCACCATCCTGTACGTCCTGGTCAATATCAGTTACCTGCTGGTTATGTCGCCCTTGGAGATCCTCTCCTCTGATGCCATGGCTGTGAGCTGGGGGTGAGTCTGTCACGTGATGTGTGCCTTGTATTAGGGATGGAGGGTGCTCTATGTGGATCTGAACTAGTCTTTAAATGCATTATTTTCTCTATTCCCCAGGAGGCCTTGGGGCCCCTTTCCAAGTCCCTGCTAGAATTCTTTCCCTTGATGCTTCTGTTGTTCTAGGAACCAGGTTCTGGGGTCCTGGGCCTGGCTGGTGCCCTTGGCCGTTGCGCTTTCGACATTTGGTACCGTCAATGGGTCGTTCTTCAGCGGCAGCCGTTTGTGCTACGCAGCTGCCAGAGAAGGTCACATGGTAAGAGGCGGGGACCTGGGGTCAAGTGAGGTGGTCAGGGCTGCAAGGAGGTGCTGGGAGACTTTTCACCTACGCCTTCTCCCACCCGAGCTTAGCATTTAAGCCAAGCCTGGACCTCCCCGGTCAGATGTGGCCCTTTTTTCTCCTGAGAATGGGACACGGCCCTTCCATACCTTTCCGAAGTATTCCCAATCTCTTCCAGGTTTCAGGGCTGTCATGGTCCTGGATTATGTGAGGTGGAAGAGATAAGTGTTAGAGCCTATCTGTGAATAACAAGAGTGCAGAGGCCAGAGGGAGGGCCCCCCCCCCCCCGAGTACACACCATGCCCCTTTCCCTCAGAGATTCTTTGCCCCTGTGTTAGCTTTTACTAGGATAATAATATTGAATAACAGGCAACCCCCAGACTGCCAGTGACTTGCAACGTTTAACGGTTGCCCTTCGTGTTATCCGTAGCCCTGTTTGGGTCATTCTGATTTTGGAAGGAGATTGTTTCTACTTCAGGGATGCAGGCCAAATAAAGCAGAGGTGGCCCCTGAGAGGCGTTTCTTGATTAACTCAGGAATCAGGGTTTAAGATGTCAAACCAAACGTCTAATCACATGTAGGGTATTTGCTTGTCACCTGCGCTCATGTTTTTTATTGGATGAACCGAGTGGCACAGTCTAGCCCACATCAATGGTTGAAAACTGTATTCCTGACATAGAGGCAAAGAGTGGGAGACTGAATATTTGGAGGATAACAATCCAGTGTGTCATAGCAGCCCAAGGAAACGTATGCCCTGGAAGCCGTGGTGCTAATGGCCATGAGATTGGGCACGCTGGTGTCCAAAGCATGACGGGACAGAGTGCGACTTGCGGCTGTTCTGCAGCTTCTCTCACACCAACTGTTTTCCAGCCCCAGCTTATGTCCATGATTCATGTGCACCGACTGACACCAGCCCCAGCCATGGTCTTCACCACAGCTGTGGCTTTGGTCCTGCTCATTCCAGGCGACTTCGGCACCTTCGTCAACCTCTTGAGGTAAGCGAGACATCCCCCGGCTGGTATCTGCACCCCAGACATCTTTGTATTTATATACCCTTATATGTACACTCTTGCACACATGAATGTGTGTGTTCTCTTCTGGAGCTCCTATGTGCACGCACACACACACGCACACGCGCCCATGCACGCACACAAATTTTCTCATCATAGCAATCAAATACCTGACAAGAAACAACTTAAAAGAGAAAGGATTGATTTTGGAATGTGTAGGGTACGGACCAACACGGCAGGGAGGAATGGGGATGGGAGTGTTTGGAGGCTGTGGCCAGAGGTGTGTGTAGCTGCTCGCTCACCTCCCAGTGGACCAGGGAGCAGAGAGAGGACAGGAAGCTGGGTGTTATAAATCTCAAGACCTACCCAGCCACCCAGAGACTCATTTCTTTATTGAGCCTCCGTCCCCTTACATCTCAATCATCTCCCCAAATAGTATGTTTTCAACTGTTTCAAACACATGAATCCGTGGGGAAATAGTTTACATCCAAGTTATATCTATCGTTCTGTCTATCCATCCGTCCATCCATCCATCCATCCATCCATCCATCCATCCACCTACCTATCTACATACCCACTCACCCACCCACCTACCTACTGATCTGTCTATCTATCTATCTATCTGTCTATCTATCTATCTATCTATCTATCTATCTATCTATCTATCTATCTATCTATCTATCTACACACACATAGAGGAGTGCATCTGTGTCTCTTGAGCTCCACATGCGTGTGCGTGTGTGTGTGTGTGTGTGTGTGTGTGTGTGTGTGTGTGTGATGCATTTCTGAAAGCCCAGGCTCAGAATCCTCACACCTATACATATATTTCAGCCATTCTCTCTGTTATGTTTCCAGAATTAAACATGGCTCTCCTCTCCCTCCATTCAGTATAACGGGTGTTTCACCACCAGCTAGCCTAAGGCTTGTGCTACTGTTGTCACTATTTCCCTTCATTCTGTTGCTAAGATGAAGCTAAAGGACATTTAGGAGGGGCCGGAGAGATGGCTCAGTGGTTAAGAGCAATGGCTACTCTTCTAGAGGACCAGGGTTCAATTCCCTGTGACCACATGGCAGCTCACAACTGTCTGTAACTCCAGTTCCAGGGGGATCCGGCACCCTCACACAGACATACATGTGGGCAAAATATCAATGCACATAAGATAAATAAACCTTTAAAGAAAAAGGACATTTAGGCATCATAATGCTGGGGAGCCCTTAGACACGGCATGATTTTTGCCCCCTCTGTGGTCTGGACTTGTGCTCTGGACTTGGTCCCAGAACTCAGTGTAGATCCGTACCAAGCTGTTTAGGCACAGTGAATGATTTCAGCACAGGAAGGGGATGTTCTGAGTCCCTTCTGATATTTTCCTTAAGACAGAAATCACGGGCCGTTGTGATAACCACTTGTCATTTTCTAAGCTCATTTGAAGCAGGCTTCATTTTTCAACGGCCAGATGAACACAGTATCTGAGTGCAGAGGGAGTTCTAGCAATTTCTCAGGTATCACATGTTCCCTGCTCTGTTGTCTAATCTAGAAGAGGACATTCAGTGCTTGGTGTGATTCTTAGGGACACCACGTCACAAATGTTTTATTTTCGTTGTTTTTCCCATGAGAAAGATGGAAATCGTTATACAGTGATAACAAAATCTAATCCATTGTGGGTCTAGGGGACACGAGTCTTCAGGTAGAGACTGGGGAATGTGACCAAGAATGTCTCAGTACAGAGTAAGAATCCTGTTCAGTTAGGACCTAACACTTTGTAGTCTGGATCACCTCAAGAAGTGGCTTCTTCTGGTCCTTGATAGCCAGGTTAGATAGAATTTGTGTATGTATTCACATGTATGCAGGTGTGTGTGTGTGTATGTGTGTGTGTGTGTGTGTGTGTGTGTTTGCATGTATGCATGAATGTGTGCATGTGGAGGTCAGGGGATCAAACTTGGAAGTCATTTCTTATATGTTATTTATATATTTTTTAAAGACCATGTTCTAGTTAAGATTTCTATTGCTGTGATGAAACACTGTGACCAAAAGCAACATGGGGAAGAAAGGATTTATTTGGCCTACACTTGTTCCGCATTGTAGTCCGTCATTGAAGGAAGTCAGGACAGGAACTCAAACAGGGCAGGAACCTGGAGTGGGGAGCTGATGCAGAGGCCATGGAGGGGAGCTGCTTACTGGCTTGCTCTCCATGGCTTGCTCAGCCTGCTTTCTTATAGAACCCAGGACCACCAGCCCAGGGATGGAACCACCCACCATGGGCTGCCCCACTCCTCATCAATCACTAATTAAAAAAATGCCCCATAGTCAGATCGTACAGAGGCATTTCCTCAATTGATAGTCCCTTCTTTCAGGCTAACTCTAGCTTGTGTTGAATTGACATAAAACTAGCCAGCACATATAGGGTCTCGCTGTGTAGCTCTGGCTGTTCTAGAACATGCTATGTAGACCAGGTTGGCCTAGAACTTATGGCGATATTTCTGCCTTGGCCTCCCATGTGCAGAACTAGCCCAGTGGGCTAGGCTGCCTGGCCAGTGAGCCCCGGGGATCTCCTTGTCCCTGCCTTCACTGTGCTGGGATTACAAAGCCTGTACTTAGCGCCACACCTGGCTTTCCTCCATGCGTTCTGGAGATTGAGCTCAGGTCTTCACACTTGTGCGGCATGCTCTTTACTAGACCTTCAGATGGAATTCTATCAGGAATGGCAGCAGCCACTCAAGCTATCGACCTTGGAAGGGACAGGGGCAAGGGCTGATGGGGTGTTTATCCACCTACATGTAATGTCGCCAGCCCTGAAGGAAAGATGGGTTGGGAGAAGAGCTCTGCTTTGATGAGCCCCCCCCCCCTCCAGTGAGCATAGCCTCCTTGAGATTCCACCACGCCCTCTTTTTTAAAAAAAATATTTTATTTTAAACATTAATTTATTATTTTGACTGTTTCACATTTGACTTTCACTGAAAGGCCAAGAAGCAATTATTCTTTGACAAATTCATATATGTATAAAATACATTCTGGCCATACTCATCCCTCTGCCCTCTCATATCCCCCCATCCCACCCCAATTTCCATCCCTTCCGTCTACCAAGTTCTTATCCCAATTTCATTTGTTTTGTGACTCACAGGGTCATCTCTAGATTTTTTGTTTTGTTTTTAGGATTTATTGATTTTTGCCAGGTGGTGGTGGTGCATGCCTTTAATCCCAGCACTCGGGAGGCAGAGGCAGGTGGATCTCTGTGACTTCGAGGTCAGCCTGGGCTACAGAGTGAGTTCCAGGACAGGCTCCAAAGCTACACAGAGAAACCTTGTCTCGAAAAACAAAACAAAAAAAAGATTTATTGATTTTATTTTATATGTATATGTGTTTCGTCTTTATGTATGTTTTTGTACCACATTCATGCCTGGTTCCCACAGAGGTCGGGGGAAGGCATCAGATCTCTTGGGGCTGGAGTTAAGGATGGTTGTGAGCCACCCTATGGGTGTTGACAACCTAATCTGGGTCCTCTGTAAGAGGAGCAACAGCTCTTAACCCCTGAGCCATCTGTCTAGACCTAGGCTCTCCTCTACAGAAAACCAAATGCTCCCCCTGCTCTTTGAACACGTGGTCCTGATCCAGGCGGGTTCTATCAGGGAGGGCCTCAGCTACACTTTCCTTTTTTTTTTTTTTTCCACTACAGCTTCCTCTCCTGGCTCACCTCTGGAACCACCTTTGGCTGTCTCCTGTACTTGCGAATAAAGACAAAGAATCTTCCCCACACTTACAAGGTAGCCCTCAGGACAGACGCTGCGCATCTTTCAATCTAGGCTATATATGAAGTGTATCTTTGGGCCACTGCCTCCTCCAAGGCCTAGACCAATGGTTCTCCAGATTCCTAATGTTTCGGACCATTTAATACAATGCCTCATGTTGTTTTGGTGACCCCCAACCATAAAGTTATTTTTGGTGCTACTTCGTTAACTATAATTTTTCTATTGTTATGAATTATAATGCAAACACCTGATATGCAAGGTATCTGATATGTGGCCCCTGTGAAAGGGTTGTTCGTCCCTCCCCTGCCCCCCAGCCACTACCACCCACCTTGAAAGGGGTCGAGACCCACAGGTTGAGAACCATTGGCCTAGACAAGGAATGTCAGCAGCTGCTACTTGCCACTGTATTTGGTAGAGCATTGCACATTTTGTGGGTGGGGTAGAAAGGGTTATTGGCCATTTCTCCTCTGTAGGGCCACAGGGGAGAAAGATGGAGCACATACGCAGAGGCCTCATAGCACAGAGAAGCTAATGCTGGGCCCCAGACTCTGCTTTTTAACGAGCCCCCCCCTCCACACCCCACCTCCATGCAGCCCAGCAGGTGACTCCCCTGGCCCAGTCAGGTATCCTATCACATACTGGAGGAGGAACACTAACGATAGGTAGAAATAACTGAGAGGTAGGTAGGAAGGACACAACTCAGGGACACCCCTCCCTCATCCTTCCGGTCTCAGGGGTCAAATAAACTCTCTGTGCCCTCTGCAGGTCCCCACCTTCATTCCCGCCGTCATGCTCCTGGTATCTCTCTACCTGGTGCTGGCACCCGTCATCGACCACCCCCAGGCAGAATTCCTGTACATCTTCTGCTTCCTGCTCAGTGGCTTCCTGGTGTATTTCCTGCTTTTCCACTTCCGGTGTCAGTCCAAGTGCATGCAAGCGGCCACGACGCATCTCCAGCTGCTCCTGGAAGTCGCTCCAACCACTAAAGGTCATTGACTGGATGGTCAGAGGAGTCCCGCACTGTCCTCTTCACTGTCCCCGCTGGTCCTCTGTACACCAACTAGGTATCATTCCAGTAAGCACTTAGTGCCACACAGTACAGCTGCTTTGAGGTTTGGGAATATCTACTGGGACATTATCCCATTTCCCTAAAACCTATTCCTTTGAAACAAGTACCACTTTGTTTCACAAAGGAACCCTCTGGTTACAAATAGACATTTAGTTGCTGTTTGTAGCCCAATTAGACAGCATGGAATGAGTCCCTTCCTTGGGTTTCTGCCATTGGAATTCTATAGTCTTATTGGACATTGCTCAAGCTGAAGAGTTGCACATCTCGGGATTTATATGGGACCACTTGTATCAAGTGGGCAGAGAAGTAGAGAAAGGCAGAATGGCAAGAAGAATGAGGATGATACATGCTTAGACATGCTTTAAAAAAGACTTGGTGCTGAAGGGGAGGGGGTAGGAGCTGAAAGCGTAGTTTTGATCCCTGTGGTCCAACGGCCACTTGATGGTATTTCTTGAGTTTTATGTCTTCCTCCTCCTCCTCCTTTTTTTCTATTTTGTGAACCTAGAGATTAATCCCAGGGCATTATGCATACTTAGGCACTGTATCGTTGATTTTTCCGAGACAACTGATACCATAAAATAAATTTCTCATTTTGCCTCCAATGAGTTTGAATGGGTACCTATTTCTTGCAACTAGACAAGATGTGTCTAGGGTAATTTTTAAAACATTTATTTGTATTTTATGTACATTGGTGTTTTGTCCTCATGCATGTTCGTGTGAGGGGTGTCGGATCCCCTGAAACAGGAGGTGCAGACAGGTGTGAGCTGCCATGTGTGTCCTCTGGAAGAGCAGCCAATGCTCTGAACCTCTGAGCCATCTCTCTCCAGCTCCTGTCTATGGTAATTCTGGTCTGGGAAGACGTCAGCTGGGGGTTGAAGCTGTTTGCTTGCTTGAACGGGGCAATAAGTAGGAGATGTACTGGTAGGAAGGGAGGGTGGCTGGCTTTGACCAAGGAAAGGCAGATAAATTCCCAGGAGAAAGGACAAAGAGCTAGAAGTGTCCCCAAGACAGCTAATATAGTTATAGGACTAAATAGAAAACGGAGGGCACAGACACCTGGCTACCCTGGACATCTGGGTAGATACCTGGAAGGATGCGGGAGATGAGGAATGAGAGGTGCACAGAATGAGGGTGGGAGGACAGCTCCCGAGGGCTTCTAAGGGGGCGGGTGGTTCAGAAGAAAGGGGAAGAGGACATCTTTTAGTTTAGTTTCTCCCGAAGACTGGATTGAGGCAACTTGCGTACGGTTTTAGTGCACCTGGCACACATTCATTAGCTGTCCATTGCTCTGATAAAACACCATGACCAAGGCAACTTATAGAAAGTGTTTATGTGGGCTTACGGTTCCGTAGGAATAAGAGTCTGTCACCACTATGGCAGGGCAGTGTGGCAGCAGGCAGGCATGGTGTCTACAACCATTGAGAGTTCGCATCCTGCCACCAAGCATGTGGCAGAGCGCACCACACTGTAGGAATGGTGGGAGGCTTTTGAAACCTCAAAGCCTGCCTCCAGTGACACACCTCCTCCAGCAAGGCCACACCTCCTCAACCTACCCGAAGAGCTCTACCAAGGGGACCTGGTATTCAAATTTCTGAGCCTATTAGGGATTTTCTCATTCAAAACACCACTCACCTCATAAACTTGCTTCATGGTAGACACGGATCAGAGAAGTTCGACAGTTCCATTCAGTTCTGACACAGAGGCTGAGCAAACGCAGGTCCAAGGTCCTCCCTCAGGTTTAAGGGTTCAGTTCTTCATGACTACCATCACTTCAGACCCTAGTGATTTAAGCACTGGGTCCCCATGAGACCTATACATCTATCCAGAGTGACTTTGAAATTGGCCATTCCTACAGCTTCCCACATCGAGTACAACTTGCTAGAATGACTCACAGGACTCAGAAAACCACTTCACTTACGATTACCAATTGAAAATAAACGATTCAACTCAGAAACACTCAGACGGAAGAGCTGCACAGAGCAAGGTCAGGGGACAGGAGCACAGCTTCCAAGTCAGCTTCCGGTTCACTGTCTTTTGTTGTACAGCAGTTTCCTCTGTTTGAAATAGTCCATCTCGGAGGGAGGTTTGTTAAGACTCAGGAAGTTAATGAAATCTACAAGGCTCAGGAAATAGACAACTCACAAGTCTCAGGAAGATCCTGAAATTCATGAGATTTACAAGGTCCCTCCCCAAGGTGGCCAGGCCCGCACATAAACCCCTCTGTTTGTTGAGCCCTCTTGCTGAGTAAATAGATACTTGTTCATGTCTCCTCAGGAAAAGTCACCCAACATCCTTTTTAGCACCTTCATATGTTTACCCAGAAGCTTTCTAAATCCTGTCACTCAGGAGTTTTTATAGAGGTGTCATTAGGTATGAATGATTAATTAAGTTATTGCTTGAATTCTATCTTTCTGCCCTCTTCCTAGGGGGAGTGGATTGAATGCCCTAAACTCCTGAAGCTACCTAGGGGCCTCAGTCACTTATCATCTTATAAGCATATAAAATATTCAGCATTCTAGTCATTCCAAAGGTTTTAGGGACTCTGTACCAGCACTTGGGGACAAAACCTTTTTTCTGGTCTACCACAGTCCTGAATTGTGAACTGTTGATGAACCCAGTTCCTGAGCACAGTTCTATAGAGAAATTCCAGCATTCCATCTTCCCAAGTAAGATAGCCGGTTGCAGAGAAAATAATGTTTCCAAAGAGGCTGGTCCTACCCAGCTCCCCCTCAAAGCAGATGGTGGGCTCGTCTAGAGAAACAAGCCATGTGATGAGAGGATTGGAGTGTTCAACTTAACCTCTGGAGAGGAGGGAAGGGCTAGAGATTAACCTCAGTCATCCAAGGCCAATGATTTAATCGAGCCTGCCTGTATGGTAGGGATTCTATACAAAACCAAAGTGGAGGGTCGGAGAGTGTCCAGGCTGCTGCAGTCATGGGGGAGGCTAGTGTGCTGGGACTCCATGACCCTCGCACCTTACCCCATGTATGTCTGCACTGCCTGTTTTCGTTTTGTTTTGTTTTGAGACAGGGTCTCATCTCATCCAGTCTGACCTCAAATTTATTAGACAGCCAAAGATGAGCTTGAACTCCTGATCCTCCTGCAAACCCTTCCTGAGTGCTGGAATTACAGAAGTATGTCACCTCCTCAGTGTATGCAGTGCCAGGGATCAAACCCAAGGCTTTGTGCATGCTAGGCAAGGACTCTGCCAGCTCAGCCACATCTTAGTCCCATTTGTATCCTTTATAATAAACTATAAATACAAATAACTGTTTTCCTGGGCTCCTTAAGCCATTATAACAAATTATCAAGCAGATAAGGATTGTGGAACTCTGAGTTTGCAGCCGGTATGGCCAAGAACCAGAGGCCCCTGCGGCTTGCAAATGACATCTGAAGTGGGTGCGGCCCTCACCTGTGACTATGAGTCTCACAGGTACCAAGAACTGTGGAGCAGCAGGTGGCCGTCAGCAGCACAGTTGGTCCTGAAACCACACTGGCAGACAGACTCATCCTCTCCGTTCTCCTCCCTCACATATCTCTGATCTGTCAACCATCTCCTCCGACCTTCTGGCACCGCTCTGTCTCCTTCCTTTCTCCAGGGGCAATCTTCGTTTACCTCTTAGAGAAGACTAACTGGTTCTGCAAACACACATAAAAGAAATTTTTGTCTAGCTTTTGAATCTTTGTTCCTGCTTAGGTGTGGGTCAGAGAAAAGAAACACACACACACACACACACACACACACACACACACACACACACACACACACACACACCTGCCCAGCCTAGCCCTTGGGGACACTTGTGTGCAAGGAGTGAGACATATGCAGATCATACAAGCAGGTTGTGATTCTGAGATGTAACTCTGAGCTCACAGCTAAATTGTACAGACAGCATCTACTTTAAAATAGATATAGATAGGGGCTGGAGATAGCTCAGTGGTTAAGAGCCTTGGCTGCTCTGTTAGACGACCAGGGTTCAATTCTCACCACCCACATGGCTGCTCACAACTGTCCAAAGTTCCATTTTCAGGGGATCTGACACCCTCACAGAGACATGCAGGCAGGCAAAACACCAATGCATATAATATAAAAATAAATCATTAAAAAAAGAAAACTATAAAAAAAAATAGATATAGAGCCGGGCGGTGGTGGCACACACCTTTAATCCCAGCATTCCAAAGGCAGAGGCAGGTGAATCTCGGTGAGTTCAAGGCCAACCTGGTCTACAAAGTGAGTTCCAGGACAGGCTCCAAAAGCTACACAGAGAAACCCTGTCTTGAAAAACCAAAAAAATAAAAATAAAAATAAATAGATATAGATAACCTATGGGCTTTCCTAAAAAGTCCTTAATGGGACTGGAGGTATATTTCAGTGGGTAGAATACTTGTTTAACATGTATGGAGCCCTGGGGTTGATCTCTATCCACATGAGGAAGGCTTGGAGGGCCACCCTAGTAATCTCTTCCACTTTGGAGATGGAGACTGGAACTCAGAAGTTTGAAGTCACCCTTGGTTATGTATATAGCAAATTCAAGGACAGCCTGGGCTACATGAGACCCTCTCTCAAAAACAAAAACAAACAACAAAAAACAAATTGAAATGAAGAACAAGGTTAAAAGTTCTTAGTGATCTCTGATTCTGGGAAATCTCTTATATGATACTTTTGTATCAGCATGATTTTAGTGAGGGGTCTTGTGTGGTTTGAATGAGAATGGCTCCCATTGGGCTGTATATTTGAATGCTTGATCCTTAGTTGGTGGAACTGTTTGGGAAGGACTAAAAGGTGTGGCCTTTGTTGGAGGGGGTGTGTCACTCGGAGTAGGCTTTGAGGTTTCAAAAGCCCTCACCGGGCCCAGTCTCACTCTCTCTGCCTCCAACTTTTTGATCGGGATGTAAAGGATCTTATCTACTGCTCCAGCACCATGCCTGCCTGCCTGCCTACTGCTGTGCTTCTCGCCATGATGGTCCTGGACTCATCCTCTGAAACTGTAAACAAACAGCCAATTAAAATGCTTTTTTTTATAAGTTGCCTTGATCACGATCTCTCTTCACAGCCATAGTAACCCTACTTAAGTCAGTTCTCCAGAGAATCAGACCAGAGGGTCCTGATGTGACAGATGAGACAGGGTTTAACTGGACAGCTCGTTCACATAATTACACATCTGAGAAAACTCAGGATAGGTCTATGAGCTGGAGACCTTGGAACCCTGGTAGCATATCTCAGTCCAAGTCTCAAGGGCTGAGTACCAGGGAAGCTGAAGGTGTCACTCTGTTTTGAGGTGAAAGGCTGGAGAACCCAAGGAGGAAGCTGTTGGTATACATCCTGGAGACCAAACAACTTGGACTCCAATGTCCATTGCAGGATCTGAATATGCCCTGGCTTTTGGAAGGAGACATTGATCTTCTCATGGTTATGCTCTGGTTTCATGGTGCTTGCCCACACTGAGGGCAAGTCCAGGCAGATGCATATGCTGTAATTCTCTAGGAACATCCTCATAGACACACCCACAAA